CACTTGTCACTATTACTTCTGAGTGCTATTTTATGGTTCACAGACTTCTCGGATGATAACCTCATCCCAACAGATCTGTCGCTCCTGTGTCCTGGTGTGCACAGTATTGATGAGACAGTCTGAGGCTGGCCTTTTTATGCGTGGTGATTAACTTTATGTGTCAACTTGACTGAGCCGCAGGGCACCCACATATTTGGTCAGCTGTTATTCTGAGTGTTGCTGGGAGAGTGTTAGGGGATGAGATTAACATTTTAATTGGTAGGCCAATTAAAGCAAATTCATCTTAACTAATGTAGATTGGCTCCAGTTAATCAGCTCAAAGGAGGAATGGGAACAAACCGTCCTGAGGAGGGAAAACTCCTCCTGCCTGGCAGTGCCTGAACTCGGGTTCGGGCTTTCTCCTCCTCTGGACTTCCTGAATCATCGGCTCTTCCTGGAGCTCACCTTTGCTTGCTTTAGGACTAGGATCCATAGCTTTGGCTAGCCTAGGCCTCTGCCTACCTGACTCTACTTATAATAAAGCAAAAATGCACACATACACACATACACACACACACACACACACACACACACACACACACACACACTTCCTATTGGTCCTCATACTCTGGGCCCTAGAGTCTAGAAAAAAAAATGGTCAATACATCACTGATTTTTTTTCTCCTTTTATGCTCATAGAATTTATTTTCTGTCTCTGTGAATTTCACTTTATTCCTCTTATATATTTGGGGTTAAATCCAAATGGAGCCGAGGGTATAAGTCAGTGGTAAAGTACTCACTTTGAACAGGGAAGGCCTGGGCTTCCATTCCCAACACTCACACTAAAAATGAGCAGGGCACTGAAGTACCTGCCACATGAGGGTTACTCCCCTGCAGAGTAAGGGATGGTCATCTATGAGGAGAAAGAAAAGTAGCTGAGATTTTGAATTGTGTGATTCAATGCTGCACCTTCAGAGTTTAAACCCAGGGCCAGCAAGATGGCTCAGCACTTACCACCAAACCTAACAACTTGAGTTCAGTTCCGCAGGCCCCACATGGTAGAAAGAGAAAACCAAAAAATGCCCTCTGATGCCAACACATATGTGTATGGATAACACAACAAATAAATACTCTAACTTACAATAAGTTTTGAGTTCAAGGCCAAACTCTGGGCTTATCTCTTCACTATGGTGGCTGCAGCTTTCTGACTCGCTGCATTTAGCACAGACCATGGCTGCAGTGTGTTGTGGGAATTCGATCCATTTAGCCAATGGTATTGGGGTGACTAGCCCTATGTATCCTCTGGGTACTATGACCAGATAAGAACTGAGGAGGGGGGTCGTGCGCTCTCTTGGGTGGTTGCAATGGCTTTGATTCAGATGCAACCTAGGTCTAAGTCTCTAATATGAACATGCTGCCCCTTGAATTTAGAAACTACATACTGTAGGGAGTGGAGAAAGCCTTGTGTGTGTGAGAAGTCCTGAGTGTGTGTTGCTGACTTGAGCACCGCCACGTGAAGGACCGCAGAGCCTTAGACCCATGGAGGAATGGCACTCCCCACCCGCGCTTCCAAGGGGGTGAGGCTCAAAGAGAAATGGCAAAGCCTTCCTCTGGTCCATGTGTGCGTGTTGATGGTGTTCACAAAGAGTGTCCATCATACCTTTCTCCTCCTCCAACCAAGATTAGCTAAACTTGTCTCCTTGACACAGCTGTATACTGGTGTTTGACCGTATGCAATAACCCTGCCTCCTTGTTCAGCTGTATGCAATAACTCCGCCTCCTTGTTCAGCTGTATGCAATAGCCCTGCCTCCCTGTTCAGCTGTGTGCAATAACTCTGTCTCCTTGCTCAATCCTGCCTCCCCATTCAACTCTATATGATAAACCCACTTTGTTTCCAGGGTGCGGAGGTGTCTTTAGCTGAGAGACTACCAGACCCCAGCTTTCTGTCCGTGTGTCTGACTGCCTGTCTTTTCTTCATTCCCTCACCACCCCAGTCAGGTATGTCTCTAGAGCCATGCTGGACATGACAATGTTCAAATGGCTTCTAAGTTGTGATGGCCTGACTTACACGCATTCACCAGAAACCATAATTTGAATTCTGAATTTGTATCTCTTCTGAGGCTAGTGATAGATTTTGCATTTCTTTCTCATGACATGGTGCAACAACGGATTCCATCCCTCCCAATCAGCCATGACCACAGAGAATGTAACCAGCAATCCACAGTATTATGTGTTGCTAAGTCATGATACTCTTTTTTATTTATTTATTTATTTATTTATTTATTCATTCATTCATTTATTTATTTTGGTTTTTCAAGACATGATTTCTCTCTGTGTACTTTTGGCTGTCCTGAAACTCACTCTGTAAAACAGGCTGGTCTCAAACTCACAGAGACCTGACTGCCTCTGCCTCCCAAGTGCAAGGATTAAAGGCATGTGCCACCACATATGTAAGTGAAGATATTTTAAAATTAGGTGTATTAAATGTGTTTTGAGTTGGAATATTTTCAACCTCTGAATTTATTGATATATAAATCCATTAAAAGGTGACATGTACCTGCATTCAGATCCTTTACATCCAGAAACTTGAGCATAAGAGTTACGTTTAGTGTGTATTTGTGTGTGTGTGTGTGTGTGTGTGTGTGTGTGCCTGTGACTTCCTGAGTATATTTATATGCACATGTATGTACATGCAAGTACCCATGGAGGCCTTAAAGGGCCTCTGGAGCTAGAGTTCCAGGCAGTTATGAGCTGCCCAATGTAAATCTTCTGTAAGAGCAGTGTTCTGGTTTGCTTTTCTGTTGCTGTGATAAAACAAAGACATATTGGAGGGGGACAGATTTATTTGGCTTACACTTTCAGGCCACACTCCATCACTGAGGGATGTCAGGGCAGGATGCCAAATGGGAATGAGAACAGAAACCCTAGAGAAAGCTGCCTACTGGCTTGCTCATTGGCCCATGCTCAGCTAACTTTCTTATACAGCCCAGGCCCACCTGACGATGACACCCACAATTGGCTGAGGCCTGCCAAATCAATCATCAATCAAGACAGTATCTCACAGACCAGCCAGCATAAGCAATAAGTGCTCTTACCTGCTGAGCCAGCTTTCCATCCCAAGATATGTACTTAAAATTTGCACAAAGTAATCGCACATACATGTGGGGTGCACTGAGGCATTTCAATACATTTGTACATTATGTGGTGGATAGATCAGCATATCCGGCATACCACAGGCATGTACCATTTCTCTGTATTATACTGATGCCTTCTGTGTAAGTTAGCTTTCCATTGCTATAACAGCATTCCTCATATAGTCATCTTAAAGTGGGGAAGGGTTTTGGGCTCACATTTTTGGGGGTGTCAAACTTGCCTTTGGACTTGGGGTACAGCACCACATCTTAGGGACACACATTGAAAAGAAAGCTGTTCTCCTCATAGCCAGGATCCCATCTCAGTCTCCACCACTTCCCAATAGCACCAAGAAAGAGGATGAGCTTTTAACACACAGGATTTTAGAACTAAACTAAAGTACCCTTTACTCTCTATTGTGAAATATTCAAATAATTGTGGTCAACTGTAGTTATCCTACTGTGCTAAAGAATAGTTGAAGTTAACCTTCCTATCCCTGCATCCTATAGCCACCCTCTCTCCTTCCTGCTGAAGAAATTCTTATACACTTTCACTTAGTAAGTTTTTTAATGATTTCCTCTGAATGAAGTTCCTAGAAAATATGATGTGGTCTGGTGATTTAACTCAGTGAAGAATGCTTACCTACCATGTACCAGGTACACACACACACACACACACACACACACACACACACAAACGAATATACACTTGTGTATACAAAATATACATATATACATGAGAAGATTACTCAGCCTTTTAGAAAAACATGAGTTTTTTTTAGAATAACATGAGTGAACACAGGGAGTATTATGCTGTGAAGAATTCATGAAGAGAAACACAAAAACTGATTGAGTATACTTATGTGTGGAACCCAAAGCCATCCAGCTCATAAAAGTAGATGATAGAGGAGGTGGAGAGGTGGTTTAGTGGTTAGGAGAAGGTATTGCCTTTGCAGATGACCCAAGTTTGGTTCTCAGCACAGACATTGGGTGGCTCATGACTGCCTGTAACTCCAGTTATGTCTCTGGCCTCCATGACTTCCTGCACTTACAGGCACATATTCATACCCACCCCAACACACACACACACACACACACACACACACACACACATACACATAATTTAAAATAAGAAAACTCAACTAACTAGTTAAAAAGTAGACAGCCAGGTGGTTGTTGGGAGTAGGGACTAGGGAATATGAGGTTCGTCAGTCTTGTAGGATAATCAAGTTCTGGAAATCTAATGTGCAGAATGATGACTGTGATTTTTAACATTTGATATGTAACAATGCACACACATACATAAAGCTGAGAGACTTCTTGTGCTTTCAGTACACAGAATAAAATCATAACAATCAGAAGTGATGAATGGGTTAACTAGCTTGCTCTAGTTAACCGCTTACAGTCTATAGCTCACAATGTATCTTGAAGACATACATAATTTTTATTTATTAAGCATATCTTCACTATGGAGCTGCGGAGATGGCTCAGTGGGTAAGAACACCTGCCGCACAAACAGAATGACCTGAGTTCAAACCACCAGCACCTGTGCAGAAGATGTCCTCTCATCTCCACGCACATATTTAAATGTCCTCTTCCCACCTGTGACTCACGTGTTGTAGGGGAAGAGATGGGGAGGGTTGCTGGATCTTGTGGCTACCTCTCTTGCTCCAAGTTTGGTGAGAGACCCTATTTCAAGGGAATGGGGCCAGAGAATGGTAGAGTTGGACAGCCAGTGTCTTCCTCTGGTCTCCATGCACATGGGCATGTTCACCCAAAGATACATGTGAGCACATAATTCACATGCACACACACACATGCACACATACACCTTCATCAAAACAGAAAAACTTAAAAAATGAACAAATACTCTGCACAGAGATACTTACATGGAATATTTTAACTCTCTTTGAGTTATCATTGACAATAACCAAATTGCTGCTTCAGGCTGACCATCAAGCATTTGTCCTTCCCAGGTAGTGTATGCTGACAAATCTCTGTATGATTTATTATACACAAGAAGGCTGCAAAAATAAAACTCACTGAATAATGTAACTCTTTTCCAAATGACTTAGCTAGGGTTACAAAAGAGCATACATTTGGTTAATTCTAACTAAAATCCCATTATTGAAGGCTTCAGCATGATGACCTATGACTTCACTCAGCAATAAATATTTAATAAGATCCACTTGCATCAGGCACTATGGTGTCCAAAATATATCAATATTCATATCCATATAGCTTTTCTGATTTATGGTATAAACCACACTACCTGCATAATATATACTAAAACCCACACATTTAATCTCCTATCAGTCTCAGTAAAATGCATTATGGAAATATTATGCTTCATATTGGATGTCTGCTGCAGAATAGTATTTGCTAGACATGACAGGGCCACTGTACACACGAACTCATGGTGGCTGGGAATACATGTACAAGATCAAGCCAATCAACATCCCGGCATTGATGGGGAGGGACTCACGAAGTCCCACCCTTGGATGAGAAGCTATTGACAACTGATGGCTGCTAGAAGAGGGAGAACGTCTTCTTCTGAGACGTGGCCCCTGAGACGATGCCCAGGTTCCAGTGGATGGTCCTACACCACACACATACAGGCAGGACTAAGTGTACTCGGTGGGTTTAAGAACAAAGACTACGTGACATTGGGAAGGAAAAGTGGCAGTGGGAGATGGAGAGAAGTTAGAGGGTAGGGAAAGGAAGGGTAGATTTGATGAAAATGCATAATATGCATGATGAAAATCTCAATACAAATATATTATGCTTCTTGATGACTAGCTATTTAACTGGCTAAAATGAATCCTACTCTTGTGTGCTCCCCCCCCCCCACCGCCACTGAGCACTCAATAGCATCCCATCTTGTTAGGGTTGGCTTAATGTAGACTTAGCTATATAAATACAGTAAAAGAGGACAAAAGAAAGGTACCTCTGTGGGTGATTTTGCACAGTTTTTCTGTAAAACAACCGAAGGCCTTGTACAGTTTTGTGAAGAATTCTGGGCGCTTTGGCTCAGCCACAATGCTCTGGGTGGCAGAGATGCATTTCTCTTTGTTTCCTAAGTGTTCAGCTTAGCTCGGTCCATCTTTTCTCCAATTCACTCCCCGGGGCTCTTAGGCGGCTTCCAGCTCCCACTGGCTTACTTTCATTCTGCCCCTGGTTGTTTGATAAATCAGAAAAGAAATATTTCATATAAACCATGTCCCACAAAAGTGAAACTCGAGAGACTAACAAAGCAAAATCTTCCTGTCGGCATCATAGTTTGCTGCTGTGTGAAGGGGCTGACTTGGGGTCTTGGATGCTATGGACTGAATGCCTGCAACCCCCACAGCTCCTCTATGGAGACCTAACTCCAGCAACCTTAGGGATGTGGTAAAGTCATGAGACCTCTGTCCTCAGGGACAGGATTCATGACCTTCTAAAAGAAGCTTGAGGGTCAAGGCAGGGCAGCTGAGGCAGGAGCTTTGCCAGTTTGATTACATCTGTATCAGACAGCAAGACCCTGCCTCAAAAACTAAAGCAAACAGAAGCTGGGGAGATGGCTCAGTTGGTAAGTGTTTACTACACCATCATGAAGACCTGAGTTCATATCCTCAGCACCCGTGTAAACAACTGGGTATGGCCATGCATGCCAGTAATGTCAGCAGTGGGAAACTGAGACAGGAGGGGCCCTGGAACTCATTGACTAGCTAATCTAGCCAAAATAACAAGCTCCAGGTTTCATGAGAACCTTTGAAAAAATAAGATGGACAGAGTAGAAGATACCCAATAGAGATGACTGCCCCCCCACACCATGTGCATTTGCATGTACATATGCACATATAAATATATACAAATAAAAATACATAAAGAGAAGACAATTTTTATAAAGTGATTTGAGATAGCCCATTTCCTCCTTTAGCCATTTGAGGACATATATAGTGAGCTATTTGTGGAGTGTAGCCTCACTGAACATGGAGTCTGCCAGCACCTTGATTTTAGACTATCTCCTTCCCAAACAGTAGATAGTACATACCCTTCTGTTATTTATAAATGACCCAGGCCAGGCAATTTGTTACAGCCTCTCTCGTGGATTAAGACACTGGATATGCATGGGCTTGAGGCAATGGATGAAGGGTTGCGCAGGGGGTGGGGTGGGGGATGCATATGACATCTATAGTAACAATTCCAGCAAAAATGAGCTCGTAACTGCTGAGTCTTAGGTGGGAGAGGGAGAGGAAGTGTTAAAGGAGGTGTCTGGGCCAGTGCTTGGGAGGAGGGAGGGAAAAATCTGGCAAAGCAGGAAGGCTTCCACAAGGCAAGGCAGTCTCCGAATCCTGGGGCTGGAATGAGAAAATAAACAAACAGACTAAATATTGAGCAACATCTCTAGACTGTCGTCATTCCTGCTAGCAGGCTTATAATAAATCCAGCTGGGCTAGCCCCAGCGAGAGCGAGGGCGGGCAGAGTGACACATGGGAAGAAGCCCATTTCTTCTGACATCCTTCTTCACGTCACTCTACAGTAAACTCATGGAGAAAGCTTGAAGCCTTTCCTGTAAGTAGGAGTCATATGATTTCCCAGATAACAGATGAAAAACATACCAACTTTGTAAAAACAAAACAAAACAAAAAATATACATGCAGACAGTATTGTATTAACCTAATATTTTATTAAGACCAGTCACTCGTTGTAAATTTGAAAAGACCTAAAACAGGCAGAACATCTTGGGACACATTGTGATCCTAGCACTAGGGAGGCTAAGACAGAAGGACTGTGAGTTTGAGGCCAGCCTGGGCTACCTAGGCTACCCAGGAAGACCCTGTCTCAGGGGAGGAGGCAGAGAGCTAAGGCGAGAAGAACTGGAAACTGATGGTAACAGAACCTCCTTAAGTTCATAGAATTGGGACATAACGAAAGTGGAACTTGACATGTATCAGAGAATGTATGTGTTCTATACCATGAACTCCAGATTGCTTATAGGCATAGAAAAGCTGAATCAAAAATATGTTTACATCATCACCAGGGCTGGATGCCAACTGAAGATAATTGCTAAAGAAGGTGTATTGATCTACCTAGTCTGCCACAACCAAGAGCCATAGACTGGGTGCCTTAACAGAGGTCCACAGTGGAGATTCTGGTTGTGTGGTTTTCATAAGGATTTCTTCTTAACTTTCTAACCAAATCTCCCCATGGCCGAGAGAAGAGTTCCTTTCTCCCTTCCTTTTCTTATAAGACTACAGTCCTACCAGATCTGGGCCCCACCCTAAAATCCTCATTTAATCAGAACTGCCTGCTAAAAATCCTATCTCCAAATACAGTCATCTTGGGAATCACTGCTTCAGCATACACGTTGGAGAAAGCCACACCACAGTTCAATCTCTAAACAAGCTAGATAATTGTTCACCATTTTGATAGTTAAAATCCCCCTTAGTTTTTAAAAAGCAGTTTCAACTTTTCAGTAAAAACAACATATAGCTGTTTAAATAGTACCAAGATGTGGTGATATTTTATTTGTGCTCTAACAAATAAACTTATCGGGGGATCAGAGGACAGAGCCAGCCACTAAGTTAGACATAGAGGTCAGGCAGTGGTGGCACATGCCTTTAATCCCAGCACTTGAGATCTCATGTCTTTGCTTAGGAAGGACACATGCCTTTAATCCAGGAAGTAATATGACAGGACACAGAAAGATATCTAAGGCATGAGGAAACAGGAACTCACACTCTGGAGGCTGAGGAGTTGGCGAGGTGAGGTTTGCTGTGGCTTGTTCTGTTTATCTGATCTTTCAGCATTCACCCCAATATCTGCCTCTGAGTTTTTTTATTAATAAGACCATTTAGCAATTTGTCTTACACCAAGAAGTCAAAATAACTGGATGTACCTTAAACTCCCACAGACATAGGTAAATTTTTGGAGTGATGCCCTACTTCAGTAAAAACCTGAAACTAAAAATATATTTGCTATCCTGAGACTAAGATGCAACTTCCTGAGTAGGCTTTCATAAATCAGTTTTTAAAAGCTGTCCTTTGGTGAATATTCCATTGCCACAGTTGATGGAATAAAATAATGCCATGGCTATGGACAGTGCTTGTTCCATACCCTGCACAGCATTGCATATCCACTGAACCTCCTAGGGCCAGGTAATAATTTGGACAGTGCTAGGGGTGTGGTGCAATGATAGAGCATTTGCCTAGCATACAAGAGGCTTTGTTTTAATTCTTATGAGGGAAAAAATAGACAAGAAACCCCTATAATAGGAGACCGCTCCTTCTCCATTAATCTTCCATAAATACTTAGGACAAAATGTAGCTCAGTTTGAGCCGTCTGGTTTCCTAGTCTATTCAGGAACTCTAGGAAGCTGTTCTTAAAACTGAGCCCACACTTGGCACCTCCTGTTCAGAGTTAAACAGTTTCTTTGAGCCAGCGTATCCCATGGGACGTCAGTGCTCCTGAGCTGTCAAGTAGATTCAGATCACCTATGTGTGTGGCTGTCTCTGGAGTACCTCTCTGACTGATGGACTCACATCCTATAACAGAAACCAAGAACCGTTGAAGGTAACTTACTTTGTAGGGAAATGGACTAGGGTCTGTCCACTTAGCAATTGGTAAGTTCACTTGCAGATGACAAATGTGCTGTGGGTGCTGACATCCAGTTTATTATGGGCCAAAAAGGCTGGAAATCGCAATGAAATAAAATTCAGTGGACTCAAGTCATCAGGCCAACCGAAGAATGGATAAATAATAAATATATTAATGAAAATGAACATATGTATGAGCCTTCAAAAAATTCTCATACACTTCATTGTTTGCTGAAATTTTTTTCATTGTCTCATTTATTTAACTATTTATACATATGAGTGCATATATACACCTAACACTTCTATCTCAGCTCTATCACTATAAAAATAAGAACTGAATGTAAATAAAAATACACTGTCAATAAACTGAAAATTAAAACAGACCTGCCACATAGCTTGCTGTATGTTAACATGATTATACAAGGTAATACAGGCTTGCCTTTATTCTTCAATTATGAAAACCTTAATTCTTTCATGATTCAGAATGACATATTCATAAAGCACTCAATTATATTTGATATAATAAAAGTAGATGTTAAGTAACATTTTAGATAAGATTATATGCCTTTAAAATATACTTTGTCATATAAACTAAACTATGTTACAACTACCTTTTATGATTACTGGTTTCTTTAAAAATCATGAAATACAAAAAAAAATATAAATGCCGAAAGATAAATCTCAGGGATGAGTTTAGTATATTTTTCCTGTCTTATTTTTTAAGGGTCTTTCTATGAAGCCTAGGCTGGCCTGGCACTCACTGTGTAGGTCAGGCTGGAACTGAATTCTGAATTCTCCTGTCTCAGCCTCCAAGAGAAAACAGGTGCACACACCACCACATGAGGTTCTCTCTGTCTTTTATTTTGTTGGTTTTTAAAATTAATATTGTTACTTGACAATTTCATAAGGTATATAATGTATTCTGATTACTTCCCCCCTCTTATCCCCCTTTCTATCCTTATAAAGCCCCCTTCCTCTCCCCGGCCCCTCCTTTCCCAGCCTCATTTGGTGTTCTTTTGTTTTGTTTTTAACCAGGTTTCTAGTACTCGGCAGGCATGTATTTCCTCCTACAGAGTGGGTCTCAAACCAATCAGAGAGCAATTGGCCACCCCACAGCAATAGAGCCACGATTGTACAAGTGGGCCTGTAGTGTTTAATAGATTGTGCTCAAAGATTGAAGGATCCACAGAAGGGTACTATTGTTCTTCTTTGCCATCTGTTGCTCTGGTAAACTCTATGAACAAAAGCAAGTTGGGGAAGAATGGGTTCACTTGGCTTACAGTTCCAGGTTGCAACACATCATTGAGAGAAGTCGGGGCAAGAGCTTAAGTCGCAACTGAAGCAGAAGCCATGTAGGAATGCAGCTTACTGGCTTGCTCCCAGGCTCCCAGTCAGCTAGCTACCTTCCTTATACAGCCCAGACCCACCTGCCCAGAGATCAGCACCGCCCACAGTGGGCTGGGCTTTTGTGCATCAATTAGGCATCAAGAAAATGCTGAACAGACATGCCCACAGGCCAGTCTGATTGAGGCTATCCCCCAATTGAGACTCCCTTAGATGTCATGGGGCTGTGTCAGGTTGACAGCTGGCGCTAATTAGGAGACTCCCCTAGCAGCCTGCAGAGCACCTTCTGGGACTCTTTCTTTTCAAATGCACAATTCTGGAGGGATAAAATGAGAGCGGCAGGTTTGAGAGCTTATACTTGATACCCTAAGGTTTTCAATTGTCTAGACTTGCCTGGGGGTATGTGACTTTCAGCATTAAAATGAGGAAAGTTCCAAGCAAGCGAGGGAGTTCACTCACTTGCAGTTTTCTTCTACTCAAACATGTGTACATTTTAGGCAGAAGCTTCTCTTGTGTTCTTCACCCAATTTTTCAACTGTTGGTGAAACTACAATGCATGCCTTCTTATCCTCCGTAATGCTCTGGATGGAGAACTACATCTTACCGGAATACAGTCGTTTCCAGGGCTCTCAAGAGAGAGGTTACAAGGAGGTGCCGTCTGTTCATAGTCTTCAGCCAGAAGCTCCTCAGGGTTTCCCGTGTTAGTACTCCTGTGGACAATGAGGATTCTGTCCCAGTCCTTGCAAGAAGCTTGGATCCCACACACCCTTGATACCTTACATAGCAATTGCTCAGCTTTCATTAGCTTTACCGGTCACACTAGAACTTGTTGGGATCAAAGAGCTCTTGAATCATACAAAAACACTGGACTCAGTATTCAATTATTAAAAATAAGTCATCTAAATGATACCAAATAGTTACATTAGAATATCATTAAAATAAGCACATAAAATTTAATGCTCATTTAAAAAAATCTTCTTGAGTCCTTAAGCATATATATCTGCCAAGTTAAGAGTAATTTCTCATAGGTCGTTTTAGGCCTACATAGTTATTATTTGCAAAGAATTGTTTTAATATATGGGAAAAGTAATGGTCTTGAGTTAGATTTGACTTGAAATATGCTGGAATCTTAGTTGCTCCATTAAAAACAAAAAACATTAATGGTGTAGGAACTAGCCACTTAGGACGATTTTGGAGATCAGCTTTCTAGGAAATGTCCTAAGCAAGATCATATCATAACAAAGAATGATCACCTGCCCTCTCACACCCAGGAAGTCAACACCTGTTTTCATTTTACAACTTGAAATGCCCTCCATGTTCCCCTGAATATTTTCAATTAATTATCCTCCCAGGAGATAGTCAGATGTTCTTGCCATAACATAATTTTTTGTTTCACATATGAAATTTATCTGAAAGAGAGCTGATTGGTAATGCAGGGAAGTTTCCAGGACCCATTTCAGGGTGTTATTAGATGGATACACTGAGACTGCAGGGTTCCCATTCCCTGTGAAGGTAAAGAGAAAATTTCTCATCTTAATTAAAAGGTATGAAAAGAGAAAAACATGAATGACACAAATCTATTTGGAGGATAATTTTTCTCACTCTATTATTATTGCAAATTTTGTGTTTCAATCAGTTCTTTCCAATTCTTCACAGTCTTTTTGGTTGATTTTTCAAAAATAATAGGATCTGGGTTTATTTTTGTCTTAAGTTAGTTCATTTCTTTTATTAAAAACACTTTTACTTTCTTGGATTGAAGCAAAGAAAAACTATTTTTTTTTCTTTGACAAATAGAAAAGATGATTCAGTAACACAGCAACCATGGAGACTTAATACTTTTCCTGGAAAAAATTATTATTAATGTCTTCTGCAATCTGAATACCCGCTTCAAGAGGTGAATATTCAACAGTAAGAACTCATTTCTATATTACTTAAGCAATGACTTTTTCATGCTGTGAGAGATGGCACTGTAATGGGTCTTTTTTTTTTTCTTTCATTTTTTGAGGTAGAGTCTCACTATTTAACTCTGTCCTAGCACTCACTCTGTAGACCAGGCTGGCCTCAAACTCACAGAGATCCACCTGCCTCTGCCTCCCGAGGGCTGGGATTAAAGAATGGGGTGCGCCATACTTGGCATAGGTCTTCTTAATCAAGACACTCATGTATAATTTCAAGTCCCTTAAATCACACAAAGCAGGAACAGAATTCCTCTATCTCTAATTTTAATGCCTATAAATATCTCAAGTCAGGATAAAGATTTGGAACTAACTCATATCCCCAGAGAATAGTCTTGGTTATAATCACCCTTTATATTCATCTCTACTTAAATATTTTATTATAGCTGACAGGAAGTGAAAAATATATAGCAAATACAGATGGAAGTGATGAAAAACAGGATAGCTATGAAATCAGAAACTGAGAAACAGTAGTCTGTGTGAAGAGCAGGCAGATAATCCTTTACACTCGCTCTAGGTGTACAAAGTCTTTGGAACTTCCTGTGGGTGTACAAAGCTCCTGTCTCCTGCAGAAAAATCGGGCTCTATTTGCCAGCTTTGAAGTGCTCCTCAAAATCTAAGGCAATGGCCCAGGTCATCTTTTGCTAGGTCTTTATCCTGCCAGGGTGAAGAATACACAAATTCCAGGGAACATCCAGGTTAAGACTTAGGAATTAAACATATTATTATACATTGTGGGATAACTATCATATGATAGTTATTGAAATTCTGTAGACAAATGAATCCAATGGTTTTTCAGGAACCAATGAGTTCAGTTCCAAGTGATGGCCTGAAAACATTTTCCCACACAATTAGCAATACCTGTGAGATTTAGACTTTAGTTTGCAGCATATATGCATGATGTTAGCAACAGCTATTCATCTCTGAAGGTCACATTTAGTATCATTTTACAGAAAACCAAGGCCCATGTTTCAATTTCCAGAGACTTGTAGCTATCTCCCTCCATAGCCACAGTGACAGTGGGGACAAACAAGTTCCTCCTCTTCATCCCAGCTCTGGTCCTCTGAAAGAAAAGTGTATCCTAAACAGTTATTAGGATAAGACCCCAAACCTCTCCATAGCAAGGGGAGACAAGCCACAGAAGGAGGGGGTGCAAATCAGTGTTCGAGCGTGCTGCACAATTTCACTTTTCAGACTTAAAGATAAATTGCCTCGCAGGAGGCTGACTCTTCTGTCTGCTGTAACTGGAAGGTTCAGGTTCTGTGGCTGCATCAGAGCCACAAAAGACGCCGGTGACATTTATGGGAGAAGGTGGGGATGGAAACCACCTGTGGTGTCTCTAGCCTATAATCCTAGCACTTGGAAGAGTGAGCAGGAGGGCTGCCAAGAGTGGAAACAGCCTGAACCGTGAGTCTGTGGCCGGCTTCAGTTATAGAGCAAGACCGTGCCATGAAGAAGGTTTGGAAGAAGAAAAGGAGGGAAAAGGAGGAGGAGGGAAAAAAAGGAGGAGGGAGAAGAGAGAAGGGAGAAAGAGAGAGGAGGAGGAGATAAAATATTTCCTTTAAATATATTTCTTGTAACAAGTTTATAAATTGTAGAAATGAAGCATGGTAAGGTAACACAGTGTTCTTCCATCTTCCAGAGCTGTCCTGTATCACATCTTTGACTGGCATTGGGTCCTATGGTATACATGAATCATGGTGACTGGATGCTTGACTTTTTTTTAAACACAAATGACTTCATTTATATTGAAATAGGGCAGAACAATGAGTGGGTGCCTCTTCTCAGCAGGGACCTGACCACATTCTCTGTCCCTGCTAATATCACCTGTGAAATGCACAATATTAAAATTTTAATCCTGACAGCTATAGTTTTGTTTTTCCATCTAATAATTTGCTTCTTCCTTTTGGCAACTTAATCACATGGTCCTGGATTTTCTCATTTATAGAATATAAGAATCACAGAAAATAATATCTGAAGGTTTTTCTAACTGCAATAACTCCACAGAATTATTTATCACTCTATGGGGGTTGAAATATGTAAAAACATGTGGTTGGTGAGACTTGAGTTGTTCATCTTTGAGGAAAAGTAAAACACAAATAAGGGGGAAAGAAGACTAGAATGATCTCTGGGGTACTGAGTGGTTGCCAAAGGTAAAGAAATTAATAAGGATTAAGATTATATTATAAGAATATCTCCCTGTTAGTTGATTAAGTATGGAATTGTGGATACTTAGTTTGTTTAGAAAATCCATACAGGGTGATGAACAAAGCCTGCGGCATGTACATGTGCATAAACTAGCATCCAAGCCTCCAGTTCTAGCTATGGAGAAGTTCTAGAAATAATGACAATCCAGTAGCAACTAGCAAGGCAAGAGCAAGGTTGTTGGTTCTAAGTATCAGTTCCCGATAAAAAGACATCCAGGCTGTGGCAGAACACAGAAGGGGAGCCCAGAAATCCTGTGATGCCAAAAAGAGCAAAGATAATGATAGAAAAAGGAAACCCCTTGGAGGTGTGCCCATATTTGAAGTTCCTGAGTGCTGAAACGTGACGACTGTCAGATGACAAGCCATTGACTCAAACAAGTACCCACTAGTCCATGTTTAATCAACCAACAGGGAGTGGGAAATACTCTTCCTCATGATAGAATCTCAGTTAGTAATGTGAAAGAAATGGAAATTAGAAATGTCCTGAAGGCATATAGAAGAAAAATTTAAAGATGCTGATATTAGTGGGCAAAACCATAGGAGGGATAAAGATCTACACTTAACTAATTAAGAAGGAAAATCCCATATTTATAGTGGAAAAACAGTAAACACCAATTTAGCCAAGTCATTGACATTAACATCAACAAGAAGACACCCAACACTTAGCATCCCCTGACTTGATGCCTGAAGAGGACATAGTGTTGCTTCTGCTCTGACTCCAAAAGTGAATAACACCAGCTGATTACTGAGAAAATAGCAGATGGATATACACTGAGGGGCATTATACAAAATGACCAGCCCATGCTTTTAATGAAAAGTCTCAAACTTGGCCTGGGGATATAGATCAGGGGGTAGAATGCTTATAGAATATACATAAGAACTGAGCATCACTTTCCCAGAGCCATACCAAGAAAGTGTCAAGAATTTCAGTTGTCACAGATTGAGTAGAATTAAGACAGGACAGTTTGATGTCAGATGGCTCCATGACCGGGTCTCAAAAGAAAATCAGACAGTTGTGGAGGAAACTGGAAACTAGAGAAATAGGAATGAGGTTTGGTAGTAATTCTTTCTATTGTACCATTATTACTGTGTTCCTTTCAATCATCATACTGTAGATACGTGGGATGTTTATAGAAGAAGAGGTTGGTAAATGTGGACAGGAGTTCTCAGAAGTTTCTTACAATTTTTTTGCTAAGTACAAAATCATTCCAGTTTTAAAATTAGCGAAAATGACATAATTACAAAAATATACAGATTTTGAAATGATGATGACATTCATTTAACAAATAGTTATTGAATGAATTCCTTGTGCTGGTCAGCTTGCTGAAAGATATCTAATGCTTCCACACACATTTATATTTATTTTAAGTAGTCTTTATCACTGATGTTAAGGTAGGAGTTCTAATATTAAAAAAACAAAGAACAGATAGTTTTATTTGTAAGGGTGACATGATCACAATAACAGCATAGTAAAATACTCTTCTCATTGATCTAGTAATACTACATACCACAGAATCATATGGGGCATCATAAGTTAACTCTAAAACTTATATAGATGATTAAAGATCTAAGACTGTACAAAGAT